CCCCAAAACCCCAAAACCCCAAAACCCCAAAACCCCAAAACCCCAAAACCCCATTAAAATTTATAAAGATTGAAAATTACCGGACTTTAATGGCAGGCAAGAGATCACAGTGAGTTCTTCAGTTTTTGAGGCATAGTTATAGTATATTCAAATAGAGTATAGTTTATTCCCTCCTTCTTTGACCTAAAAGCATGTTGATAATTTCTAGTTTTAAAGATATTGTAGTTTCTAACCTTCAAATAGAAGTCAGAACCTTAAAGTTAGTGCGCTTTTTGAGCATAATAGAAAAATACCAAACCCAAGAAGAAGAATACAAGGAAGAAGAAAAAGAGCAACTCTGCGAACAAGAAAACTGATATGTATGACTTCTCTATATTTTAGAAAACAACAAAAATTGCAATTTCAGCCTCTCCAGAAGATTAAGGAGGTAACTGAGAATTCTGAGGCAGGGAGCAAGAGACGTCCTACCAGCTCTAGCAGTAAGAGACGAAGTTCTTCAGCAGGAGTTCATTTGACGGAAACTTGCCAAAAATCCAAAATGAAAAAAATTCTCAAAAAGTACTCAACAAGATCTCAGCTTTAGGAATAATTATAATAACGACGACGAAGAAACCAAAATGAGTGGCTATAATGCTGACATTGACTCGAGTAATAAATAACGACAATGTCAAATCCAAAGGAAAAGTAAAGCTTATTCTACAATTTTTAGAAAACCCTTACAAAAAGAAGTAAGAAATTGCAAGGAGCTAAAAAGAAAAATAAGCCTCAGAAAATATCAATGAAAGATCTTAAAGACTTTGATCCCTACAAGACACCTTGAAGTTTGGCTGTTCTCTCATCTCTTTAGACTCTTCAGGTGTGAAAGATCCAATAGAGGAGGATGAGGAAGGAAAGAAGTCTCCAGATTCTCTCCTAAAAGAGCTTGATAACATTCCTTCTTTCAACCCTCATAACTACTCCAACGTAAAGGAGTACTTAAGAGAGTATAATACTTACCAAAAGACCAAAGAAGTCCTGGAAGAAAGTATTTTTACTCTAAAATTTCTATAGTAAAAGAGCGGCAGAATGCTAAATTTTACACGAAAACTAAGAAAGCTGTGTATTCAAATCTAGAAGATGCCTACAATGACTTTCTGAAAGGAAATATCACGCACTTGCAGTATGAAGAGTTTAAATAAGATTTATCAGAAGAGAAAATCAGTCTGCGAACTTCAAGGTAAGTTAAACACTCTAACTCCAGACAAAACTCATAAAGATTACGTAATTCTGGATAAGGCTAACAAGCAGGTATGTACTGAACTTTGATTGGACCTAGAAATAAGACATTAGGGGATTATTTCTCCACCAATACCTCCAAGATGAACATGGAACAAAGGAAGAAGTTAAGAAAAATGATGACTAAAGACCTAAATTGTAAGTACTCTTACTTTTTACCTCTGTGAAAATTAGCTATAGTCAGAGAGAGCAAAGATCCTTTAGTAAAAGATAAAATCGGTCAGCAGAAGACCGCTAGAAAGACTGGTGTAACCAAACCACAGAGTATTAAGGAACTAGAGACTAATGAAAAGTAAGAATTTGACTTATATCCTAGCATTAGTCCGAACCAGCAGAAAATGAGCAAGGGAAGAGAATCAGATTTTGACAGTATTGAAGAACTTCTAAATAACTAAATTAATTCAAATTTTTAAGTTAATTTCGGGGTTTTGGGGTTTTGGGGTTTTGGGG